GCCCACCTGTCCTATCTGCCTTTTCTCTGATTTCCTGGTCCTTCTTCCTAAGGGCCCTGTTACTGAAGAAGAACTTGTTGGTCTGGTTCAAAAATCAATATATGACAATAAAACCATAGGAACAAGGGCTGGAGAGCAGGTTCGTGGCAGTGTCTTTAATCCTAGCACTTGGGAGAAGAAGTATACTGATCTGTATATGTATTCCTTTTTTTTTTTTTAAAGGTTTTTTGAGATAGGATTTCTCTGTGTAGTCCTGGCTGTCCTGGATCTCGCTCTGTAGTCCAGGCTGGCCTCGAACCCGAGTGCTGGGATTAAAGGCGTGTGACACCACTGCCCGGCTATGTAGACGAATTTCTAAAATGGCCTTATTAAGTAAAATACACGGAGCAAATTTATGGTGAAAGCCTTAGATTAGAGAAATAGGGGAAGCAACCAGCCAACCTTACCTCACCAACTCTGCAGCTTCCAAATGCGAGTTACTTTCCATCTACTCACGCCTTTATTGCCTTGCTTTTGTGCCCCCTCATTGGCTTAGCCCAGCTACCTTACTTCCTCTTCCTACACAGCTTTGTCACTTTCTGTCTGTCTGTACAGACCTCCAGGCCTCTATGGTTGTTACTGGGATTAAAGGCATGTGTCACCACAATTGGCTTTTTCCGTAGTGTGGCCTTGAACAAACAAGACCCATCCTGCTAAGTGATAGGATTAAGGGCATGTGCTACCACTACCTCTCTTCTTGTTTACTTAAAATGGCTTGCCTTTCCCCCGATCTCGAGGCAAGCTTTATTTATTAATATACACAAAGATATCACCACATTTCAGCACAAATAAAATATCATCAAACTGATTTTTTTGTGTTCAAGGCCAGTCTGATCTTCATAGTGACCAAAACCCCCCCAAAATTAAAAATGAATAAAGAATTAAGGACATGGAACTGAGTAAAAAGAAAGGAAGAGCTGATGGTGGCGCACGCCTTTAATTCTAGCACTTGGGAGGCAGAGGCAGGCAGATCTCTGTGAGTTTGAGGCCAGTCTGGGTTACAGAGAGAGTTCCAGGACAGGCACCAAAGCTATACAGAGAAACCCTGTCTCAAAAAACAAAATAAATAAACAAATAAATAAAAATAAAAAGAAGCTGGTTTCTCTTGAGCTCTTCATGACTCCGAACTATTCAGTAAATTATACTTTGTTAAACTAAATTGAAACATGTATCTATTCCTCAATTGTCTGATCCCTCCAAATATCAAAACTTGTCAAGTACTTCTTTCATGGTAAAGCTCCTTGCATAGCTGCAAGGGGATCTATGTCCTCCCACAGCAGACCCAAGTGCAAAGCAGAGGAGCGCTGCTGACAGGAGTGTCCCCCTGGAGAATGATTACCCAGAAGCAGGGAGCGCCAAGGGCTTTAAGGAACTAAGTCTGAATTTCTTGAGCCAATGTTTACAAAGCCCTCTTGAAAAACCTCGCTGGCTGAGAGTTCACAACTTAGCAAGCTCCAAGTTAGCAAGGTACATGAAGAGATTGTCTCAAAACAAAACAACTCCATGTTGTACTTTAAAACAAACAAATATGCACCAAACCATGGGATATGGTGGTGCACAGCTTTGATCCCAGCTCCCTGGAGATAGGTAAATCTCTGAGTTCAAGGCTAGTCTACAGAGTGAGTTCCAGGACTGCCAGGGCAACACAGAGAAACGCTGTCTTGAAAAAAGAAAGTAACAAGCAAGTAAATATATAGAAAGAAAAACTTTCTGATTTTATTAGAATTGGCCTGCTTATTCATACCAGTGCAGTAAGAATAGTAATTGGCCTCAGAAGTCCACAAAGAATTTTAAACTTTTCAAAAGCCTCTGAAGGCTCACAAGTGTCCCAGAACCTGCCATCAGACCTCAATGCAGTATCCACAAATTTGGGTGTACCTTGTTCTTATTGAGGTCAAAGTATCCTGAGGTTGCTGTGCTTGCCTTGAACTCACAAAGACTTGATTGCCTCTGTTTCCTTAGTGCTGGAATGAAAAGTATGCCCAGTTACAAATCTTTCTTATTTTTATTTATGTGTCTGTGTGTGTTCCCAGAGAGAAGAGGGCTTGGATGTCCTGGAGCTGGAGTTACAGGTAGTCATGAATCACCTGATGTGGGTGCAGGAAAAAAAACTCAGGTTCTCTAGAAGAGCAGCATTTGCTCCTAATCTCAATCCATCCCTCAGAACCCAGAGTTTTTGAGACAGAGTTTCTCTATGTAGCCCTGACTGTCCTAGAACTTGCTCTGTGGACCAGACTGACTTCAAACTCAGAAGTCTGCGAGTCTCTGCCTCCTGAGTGCTGAGATTAAACGTGTGCACCATCACCACAGACTTAGAATTCTTTTTCAAACAATAACCATGGGCTGTGGTGTAGCTCAGTGGTATAGAGGGTTAGAATACACCAAAGCCCTGGGTGCGATCCCAGTGCTGTGCAAAAAGTAAAAATGCTGCTTTACCTTGGATGAGAAGGGAGGGGATTTGTGCAGCTTCTCAGATTCTTTTTTTTTTTTTTTGGTTTTTCCAGACAGGGTTTCTCTGTGTAGCTTTGCGCCTTTCCTGGATCTCGCGCTGTAGACCAGGCTGGCCTCGAACTCACAGAGATCCACCTGGCTCTGCCTCCCGAGTGCTGGGATTAAAGGCATGCGCCACCACTGCTTCTCAGATTCTTAGTTCCCTTTCCTCTCCCATCTTCTCCTGTGGCTTGGACTTGCTCCATAGCCAGGACTGGCCTTGAGTTCCTGAGCCTCCTGCCTCTTCCTCCCAAATGCTGTAATTCAAGCATGACTGCTATACATCCTCATGCGCAGATTCAGATTCTGAGGATTTATGACCTATCTCTGCTTCGGGTTTCGTCCCATTTTCTTACATGCTGTGTTGATTTTTTTGGGCGTTGGGGGGGGGGGGGCGGGTTTCATGTAGCCCAGTGTAGCCTCAAACTTGCTATGGAGATGAGGATGACACTGAATTTCTGATCCTCCTGCTTTGCTTTTTGGGTGCTGGAAGCAGAGACATATCCCACCATGTGTAGTTTTATTAAGTGTTAGAGAGAACCCAGGACCTCATATGCATGCCAGGCAAGCACTCTACTGTCTGAGCTACATTCTTCACCCTTCTCAAGTCAGGAAAACTTAGGGGGAAAAGGAAAAGAAGCCTCTTATCCCAGGATCTAGTTTATGTTTTCCTGTGGGCTGAGGGTCAAGAAACTTCAATAGAACTGATAAAGCCAAAACTTCCCATAGAATAATAATGTTTCCCTAAAGGCACTGCAAATGATGTTAAAACAATCTGGTCAGGAAGACCAATCAGTTCCGATTCCCAAAACCACTTAAAGTCAAACATGGAAATACATGCCTATAATCCCAGTGCTGTGAGATGAGAGAGAGAGATGGCACCTCAGCTTTGGGCTAGCTAATATAGCCTAGGCAATGGTAAACAAGAGAAAAGATCCCGCCTCAACCAAAGAGGAAGGTGGGAAAAGAGCCACGGTTGTCCTGACTTTCACATGTTCATCATGGCATGTACTTGCCCATACTCCCCAACACAAACACACATACACACATAGGGCCATGCATGGTGGCTCCCGAATGTCGTCCCACCACAGGAGAGGCCGATGCAGGAGTCCTGGTGCAAGTTTTAGGCCAGCTTAAAAAAGAGGAACCAGCAACAGGAGCAAACTGTGCTTACTAGAGCCAGAATGTTTGCAACTTGCAGCTTCACTGTGTCAGTACCCTATCATCCCCTAATTAAAAACGTCCCTCACGAGACCCTCTCACAGCTTCATCTGTGAATAGGAAACTGTGCCCTCTTGTTTTCAAAGACAGGATCCCATTCTGTAACCCAAGCTGGCTTAGAAATCACTGTGTAGCACAAACAGGCATCGAATTCATGATGGCCCTCCTGAGTGCTGGGATCCCAGGTGTGTGCCACTACACTCTCTTAATCTTTCAAACTGGGAGCAAATACATCCACATTGTGACATCTGGCTTCAATGTCTCACTACAACTCTGTTCTCAATTTTCCTCCTTCCTAATTTCTCGTCACTTGGAACAAAAGCCCGACAGTGTGGGTCCTTGTTGGGACACACGCTTGATGCAGCTACCCTGATAGAAACTTTAGAGCCTTTAACACACCAAATACCCTGTGGACAACCTTCTGCCTGGAGCCACAGTTCCATGGGCCATGTGGGAAGTCCTCTACTGTGTCCAATCACTTCACTTCATACACTCACAGGATACCTGAAAACCCTTCAGACTGCTCCTCAACTATCCCCCTGTCAGAGATACCTGGCCACTGGCATCTAGAACGTGTTCAACACATGTCCGCTGGACTCAAAAGTCAATTTGTAGCAAACACTAACCATTATTCGTTTTCTCAAGAACCGCCTTCATAAAACCCCTGCTCCTTCCAGATAGAGAGTATCTTTGTCCTAGTACACTTAGTCCTTGTGAGACAAAAGGTCATGGAACCGAAAATGGACTTCTGTTTAGTAGGATGTCTCTCCTCTGGAAAAGTGTCCTCTCCTTGAACAAGAAGGCTGAGCCATGCTTGGCTAAACTCCTTTTAAAGACTTAACCGTGAACCGTCTTAGAGCTCAAGGCTGCATCCCTTGAGAAATTTAGACCCCGAAGCGTCTGCTTGAGAAAATTCAAGACGGTTGACCTAATTTCCCCTAGCCTCAGTTTCTGTGGGAGAATGGGAATTAAGTTCCTTAAGCCCCAGCCAGCAGCAAAACCATGAGGGGCTTGCATCGACCGCCCTTCCCTTCCTTCCCTTGCCTGATTTTGTAATTGCTCCTCACAGACTTCTGCACTCCCTGTTCCCCTTTGGAACCACATCCACTGGTGCCACCTCTGCCCAAATGGGGATGACTCAGCTAGGTAAAATCTGCCCCTCCATTAATTAGAGTAGTGCCCTGTCTCTATGACAAGCTGTCCTCTTGGGCCCTACCCCACCACAAGCTCCTAAAAGAGGTTACAATTACCCGTGACAGCTCCCACTGTACTCCTAAGGTGCGGAGGGCCAACAAGGACCCCAAAGTCCCAGGCTGGAAGACTTCCTCTTTCTCTCACATTGTCCCAAAGCCTGCCCAGCGCTCCTCAGCTTCAATGGGTAGCCCATTCTCTTGCAAAGAGAGATCCAGGGTTATCCTCAGGCCTCTTGGAGCACACCTGTTGAGGAGATTGCTTAACAGCTTCCAACTCCACTGACCACCCATGGGCCTGGTACCTCTGACCCTCTGATCCCAATCCAAGAACTAAGTGAGACCCTCTCATGATGGGCCAGGGCCTGGATGTGCCACATCCTGTCCAGGTTAAGTCCAGCTCCAGGGACAGGCCCACCAGGCTCATCTCCCACCCCAGTACTGATCTTTAAGCTCCCCGCAAGAGTGTGAAGACCGGCCTCGCTTCAGCGACCCCCAACCAGGAACGGACCCCTTCCCAGTGTCCGCATTCCCCAGCCCCGGCCCACGTTCCCCTAGGTGAGATCCGGTACCCAGGTCTGGAGAACCCTCGCCCGAGGTCAGCGCCCTTCAGCCCAGTCCCGTTCCACGGGTGCAGAATCCGATCCCCGGGTCTGAGCTGAGCACGGTGCACGCGCTCCGGCCGCAGCACTCACCTCGCCCAGGCGGCGCACAGGTCTGGCCGGGAGGCGCAAAGGGCTCAGGCAGCGCCGAGGGCAGCCCCGGCCGCCTGAGGTCCCCGGACCATGGCGGCGATGGTGGCGGCGCTGCGCGGGCCGGTCGCCCACTTCCGGTCGCGGACACGGGCCTGGACACGCGGGACACGGGGCGCGGCGGACGCAGCGGGAGGTAGGGTGGGGTCGTGGGCGGTGCACGGGGAGAGGAAGAGGGTGTCTGTGCGTGTGTCCACATGGGGTCGCGGCGGCGGGGCCGTGCTGGAATGTGTCCGCGTGGGCATGCCACGCAGGACCGGGTATCCGAGGACCGCTGTACTGGGCAGGAGGGGACCTGCTTTTAGCGGGTTGCTCCCTTCTCAGATGACTCAAATGCTGGAGGTGCCTTGCCTGAGGTCCTGTCCCCAAATTAATTGTGTCCCTGTGGGGATGTCAAGGGCTCTGGGGTCACGTGGTACCCTACTGGCCCACCACTCCCTAGTTGCTGGTCGTGGTTTTTGTTGTTGTTGTGATTTTTTGGTTTTGCCCCGACACCCACGCGCACGTAGCCCAAGCTCACCTCAGACTGCCTAGTTAGTTGCCACTGACTTTTTGGCCTTCTGGTTTCCTCCCAAGTTTCAGTCATTGATTTGTTGTTTTTCTGTTTTGTTGGTTTTGGGTTTTTGAGTCATGGTCATGCAGCCCACGCTGGCCTTGAACTGCTCTTCACCCCTCAGCTCCAAATGTTGGGATCACAGGTCCGCACCCTCATGTCCCACCCAGCAAGGACTTTTTACTTGTACATAAGGGAATACATGAGAAGATGCTAGAGAGCCGTGGGCCCAAGCCCCAGTCCTTGCCAGGGTCTGTGTGTATCCTTGGAGAGGAGAAGAAACAACTTGTTTGCTTTGCACCAGAGGGAGTTATTGCTGAAATCATGTTAGTAATCAACTTCAAACGGCCCTGGTGGAAGCAGGGTACCCCTCAACATGGTTCACGCTATCCTGGACAGGCCGAGGTTTTCCAGAGTTTCCCATCTGTCCTGGTATGGCCGGTCCATGAATGGTCTTCCTCAAGCAGTCACATGGTGACCAACCATCCTTAGAACTGCCCCCTGGATTCGAATGACAGAACTCAATTCTGCCCACAGTGGGAGAGTGTAGAGGGAGGTGAGCAAAGACAGGCCGAGTTCTTCACAGAGGTGGTGGCATGAAAGGGGCAATGGCTGTCCCATGGCCTGCAGGGGCAGGGCAGGCAGGCTGACTGCTTGGTTGGCAGAGGTCTTTTAGCCCTGACAAAGGCTAGTCTGGGAGAGTCTTGGGAAGAGGTCACTACCCTGTGAGGTGGGAGCCTAGGGGGCAGACCTTAGGGAACTAGGGTTGTTTTAACTGTCAGGGCTCTGGCTCTTTCAGCCTCGTTGCTGCCTATGTTAGCTGGGAACATTTACAATGATTTTGTGGGGGTGAAAAAAGAAATCAATGTACCTGTGCCATTGGTACCATCAACCCCCACAGCTCTTCCACAGGACCCAAGTTCAATTCCCAGCACCCAGATGGTGCCCATTCCAGAGGGTCCAAGCCCTTATCTGGCCTCTGGCATTGCAAGCCCATGGCACGGGCCCACGTTTGCGCGCACGCGTGCGTGCACACACACACACACACACACACACACACATACACACGCCCCCCCACACACTTGCAGACAAACACTCAGACACATAAAAATAAGTAAAATCTAAAGGAAAACCCCTTTTTAAATCTGTCGATGAGGGTGAGAGATGGCTCAGAGGTTAAGAGCCCTGACTGCACTGACTGCTCTCCCAAGGGTCCTGAGTTCAATTCCCAGCAACCACATGGTGGCTCACAACCATCTGTAATGAGATTTGGTGCCCTCTTCTGGCCTGCAGGCAAACATGCTGTATACATAATAAATAAATAAATCTAAAAAATCCCCAGATCTGTAGATGAGCTTCATGAGCTCTCAAGCCTGGGAACCCCCAGTGGTGTGGGATTTGTTTTCAGGTGAGCAGGAGGCACCACAGTCTGGAGGATTCTGGCCGTCAGAGCCTTACTGGGGTGAGGATCCTATAGGGTCCAGGAATGATGTCATTCGACATATGACTCCAGAGTCCCCTTTTTTGAGTCCCCTCCAGCCTTGCAGTCTGTCCTTCTGGAGCAGGAACACACCCATGTTTTCCAGCTGGGGGTGGGGGTGTGGTGCATCACCCAGACAAGACTGTTGGCATCCTCTGAACAGCTATACAGGACCCCCACCCAACAGGTGACTCCTCTGGGTGGCGAGCCCATCTAAGGGAACCTTCTTGCTTTATCAGAGTCGTGTGCCCTTTATTTGGACCTTGTCATTCCATTAAAGCTCTGCTTTCTGCTCACCTGTCCAGAATACTGTGGTCAGGAGGCAGAGATAAAGCAGAAACATGTTCTAGAGATGAGGCTGTGGCAGGAGGAGTGGCCTAACCACAGTTAGTGAAGGCCAACATTTGAGGGTTCCCTCCAGGAAGCCATCACCTAGGCGAGGTGTCCCCAACATCTGTTGTCCAGGTTTTGCTCTGTGGAATGGCATTTGCTACCCCCAGCAGGCTACATTCCCCACCCCCATCAGTCTGCATTCCCCACCCCCATCAGTCTGCATTCCCCACCCCCAGCAGGCTGCATCCCCCACCCCCAGCAGGCTGCATCTCCCAACCCCCAGCAGGCTTCATCCCCCACCCCCAGCAGGCTGCATCCCCCACTCCTAGCAGGCTGCATGCCCTATCCCCAGCAGTCTGCATCCCCCACCCCCAGCAGGCTGCATCCCCCACCCCCAGCAGGCTGCATCCCCTACCCCAGCAGGCTTCATCCCCCACCCCCAGCAGGCTGCATCCCCCACCCCCAGCAGGGTGCTGTATCCTTCCCAGTACTGACCCTTGTAAACTCTCCCTGTGGGCTTCTTCCAAGTGTTTATCAGAGGGGAGGCTCCTGGGTGTGCACCTTGGGAACGCAGGTGGCCATGATAAGCCAGCCCTACCAACTGCTTGATAGCAAAGAGGAGAGGGCACAGTGTAGGCCTCAGGGAAGAGAGACCCAGTAGGAGCCCCACTCTGGCCACAGGAAGGACAGGTGTCCTCAATGGAAGGTAGGAGCCTTTTCTAGGGATCTAGGATCCCCCACCTCTGTCACCCAAATGCAAGGCTGGTCCTCTCTAGGGCTGAGGGGCAACTTGCCTCCTAGCACTTAATTTCTTTTCTTCTCTAGGATCACATCAAAGCCATCAAATAATTTGTAACCGTCGGGGCCTTTTCAGAACTTGAGCCTGGGGTAGATTCAGTTGTGGGGCTGCAAACCGGGGGCCACCTCTCACCTTCAGCTGTGTGCTCCTGTAGTGGGGTGCACGCCAGTGACCTTGAGGGCTATGGGAGCCCCAGGGTTTTCTCTGCAGCCTTGTCTACTTTGGGTGGGTACAAAGGCAGGTGTGGCCATTAAAAACTGTTCCTTTTACATTTGATTTATGTATTTACTTAGTGTGTTTATGGGTGTGGGTGCACACATGCTCCTGACACACATGTGGAGGTCAGAGGACAACTCTGAGACTCCTGGCTGTATGGGCCCTGGGCCTCTGTGTGGGAGGGCTACAGAGAAAGTCATGATTGCTATAATGAAGAACTGCCTTTACCACTGAAGAGCTTGTAGACCGAATGACAGTGTTTTTGTTCTGTCTGGCTCAGGACTCTGGGTGAAGTCTTAGGTTCTGAGACTCCTTTGGGCACTTAGGGAGATTCTCTGCAAAGATGGTCACATACCCTGACAGCCTGCTTCATCACACCCTGGTTTCTGATTTGTGTAGACAGTGTGGTCACCCTGACTGCCCCAGGTAGGGTTCCCCATCCTGATAAGCTTTGTACCACCTACAACTGTATGGAGCCACTGGCCCTTCAGAGAGCAAGGTCAGGGCTGGCTCCTGAACCCTCTTACCTTTTGTTCTTCCTCAGCAGGGCAGCAGAGCTTCGATCTCTTGGTGATTGGTGGGGGATCCGGTGGCCTAGCTTGTGCCAAGGAAGGTATGTATTTTGTGTTTGATTCCCTTCTGCTGTGTTGGGGCCTGGAAGCTTTTGGGTCTCCTAGGAGAAGGTGGCACTGTGGGGACAGGCCACATGTCCAGAAGCAGATGCCATGGGACAGATGTCTCCTCTAATCTGGAATCCACACAGATCCTGAGTCTGGCTTCTCCTGAGAGTGGCATAGTCCCATCCCCATTTGTTTGTCTTAAATTTATTTTTATTACATTAAATTACATGTGTATGCCTCTGTGATTGTGAGTGTAGGTTCTCACAGAGTCCAGAAGAGGGCACCAGATCCCTGGAGCTGGAGTTACAGTCCTGTAACTGGAGTTACAGGACGAAAAGGAGGCATGGAGAGAGTCTCTTAAGAGTCAGAGTCTCTTAAAAGATACCAGGAGGACACTGGTGAGGGTGCAGAGTCATTTGTAGTGAATACCTTAGGATACTTAGATGCTAGGACCATGGGCTGACCACCAAGGACAGCAGCAGGTATGGAGTGGAGCTGACTTAAGCTACAAGAAGACTGGTGTGCTGTGCAGGGCCTGGAGAGGCGCAGCCTGTGTGTGCTTGGAGCGTGGAGCTGGAGAGGCAGAGCTGCTTAAGGCCTCTGGAGTGCAGAGATCACCAGTGAGCCCCAGACCTTGAATAAATAATTACAGAATTTGATTTACACTGCTAGATGTTGGTTTTGCTTTGATTTAATTGTAAGTGTGCCCAGGTTCTTCCTTTTGGAATAATTTTTTAAATTTATTTTATAGGAGCCCACAGTTGAGAGACTTTGAAATTTTAAAGAGATATTGGACTTTTAAAGAGACCTTGGACTTTTAAAGTATTGACATTTTTTAAAGTCTGTGGAGCTTTTAAAATTGTATTAATTTTGGCTGGAGAGATGGCTTAGAGGTTAAGAGCACTGGCTGCACTTTCAAAAGACCCAGGTTCATTTCCCGGCACCCACATAGCAGCTCACAACTGTCTGTAACTCTAGTTTCAGGTGATCTGACATCTTCACATCAAAGCACATAAAATAAAATTAAATAAATTATTTTTAAAAATTGTATTAA